ATTGACAATGGGATACCATTCTCACTAACCCAAAAGTCAAAGAACTTCTGTATTACTAAATTTGTACGTGCCTCTGCAGGCAAGGGAACAAAAACTGCATACTTACTAAAACGGTCGACTATGACCATGACTTGGCTCTTACCATGTCTACTCTTGACTTGCGTGTCCATGAAGTCTATAGACACTGAGTCTCCCGGCTGATCCAGAATAGGCAAGGGCCTGAGAAGACCTAAGGGCGCGCGTGTAGTAGACTTATTTCTCTGGCACACTTTACAACTGCGGACATACTCTATGCAGTCATTCTTCATCCCTGGCCAGGTATACGCACGCATCAAGTTGGCTAATGTCTTTTGCCAACCGAAATGCCCTTCAGTATCGTGGCATTCCCCTAAAACCAAACTGCGGATCTCTTCGCTGTTGGGAACGCACAGGCGGTCAAACACATTAGTCTTCTCAAACAACAACCCGTCTGTAGTGCGGTAATCTGGTTCAGTCTCTGGGGCCTCTCTAACTCTTTTTAGGAGGTCGCTATAGATGGGGTCCTGCGCATATGCTTGCCTCACTTTCTCCTGCAGGTCTGTCCCTATATCCAGATAGTGTAATACAGCTCCAAAGTAGTCTGATCTCCTACTCAGAGCATCCGCAACTACGTTGTACTTGCCCTTCACTGGCTTGAGCTCAAAGTCGAATTGGTCTATCTCTGCGGCCCACCTAGTCAACTTAGGTGTCATCTTGGCCTGAGTCTTTAACCATCTAAGCGTTTCGTGGTCCGAATACACTTTGAAGTGCCTCCCAAGCAGATAGTGCTTCCAATGGTCTAAAGCCTTCCTGAGAGCGTAGAGTTCGCTCTCGTACGTGGAGGTAGCGACCTTCTCACAGGGCATCCTCGCGGACATGAACTCTACGGGTCTATAGCCATTGTCGTCGTCTTGCTGCAACACGGCGCCTATCCCATACTGACTCGCGTCCGTGGTGACGGCAAATGGCAAAGACGGATCTGCAACTTTGAGGACAGGATATTCTATTAACGCGCGCTTCAGCTTTTTTA